ATTCTCAGAAAACGAACGAAGGCTGGGCTTGAGTCTTGCTGTTGAACCCGCAGTCATTCCGAGTTTTTCTGATCTACAAAATCGGATAGCCGAAAAAAATTCCTTCTTGAAATGTTGACAAAACTCTGGGAACAATTTTCAATATGATTGCTCTTGAGAGAAAGTTGTGCGAATTTTTGGAACATACGTTATCTTGAAAAAATTTACCGAAAATCGTCAAAAAGCGCTGTGCCCCAAGAACCCCTAACTTTTCTGAGATTTTTAGTGTCAAGACTGTCAACTTTAACAAAATAAAATTAAACTGGAACATGTTTCACTCGAAAAATCCGTCTTGGCTTCCGGAAATCAGCTCATATATATTTCATTCATATATCTCAGCTGTTGGCGGGAAAAAAATCTGGGTTTTCAGATTACCGATAAGAAGCTCTGAACGAAAGTAAGATTGACATTTCATTGCCATCATGAAGTTCCGCTAAAAAAATGCCGCTTTCCTTGGAGAATTTTCTTTTAAAAACCCGGTTTTTTCTCTCTAGAATTAAACGCTCAGAATAGATTTGTAAAACGAGTTTAGTTATGAAATTGAAGAGATTTTCGGGACTATTGAGCAGTTTGTGATGCAAGTTTCTTGTAATTAGTTTAATGATGTGAATTCGAGAGATGGGCTCATTTCAGAGAGTTTTTTGAAAATTTTCGAATGAAAGGGAATTTTTCAAGTACTGTACTGTGTATATGGTATTTGTGTAAATGGAGAAACGCGAGCAGATGTCTGTTGATAATCAAGTGTTTGTTCGACATAGAACTATTTCATTAATAGGGAATCTCTTTCCAAATTTTTTTTAGAGTCTGAAGTAATTGGATTCTCGGAAAATTGTTTCTCTATTTCGCGGAAACCCTCATGTTCTTCGGTTAAATTTTTAGTCTATAAACATAATAATTCCATCAACAACCGTGTGAAGGAAAAAAGAGATACAGATCGTAATTTAACCTGTCTTCGATCCAATACGCGATGGAATCCAGCTTGAAAATGTTCTGCATATTTTTCCAGCCTACCTTCGTCCGTTTATCGACCACCTGGAAGGATTAGCCGAATTCAACATCGAAAGCCAAAATATGTATGAAGCTGCAGTTGTGAATGCCGGTGACATGCGACGATCCGGTGGAATATTTTGGAGCCAAGAACATCGTTGCTTCATTTTTCCGGACACTTTGTCGTCTCAAATTATCACTAGGTTGGAGTCGAAGCTTGGTGAGAATTCCGGTGTTGGAGTACTTCTGGCAAAAATCGATTCTATATTGAGAATTAGTTGACGTCATTCCACTTTCTGTATTGAGTGGAGTTTTCTTTCAGTTGCTCCAAATCTTCCGTGAAACTTTTGAGCTCGGAATCGATATCACACCCATTTTTCTCTCCAAATTGTTTTGTTTTTATACATTTACCTGATTTTGTCGCAGGTTCCTTTTTGTCGACAAACCCGGCCCTGCAGTTTGTGCTGTACATCAATCATTATAAGGAAAACCAAGGACCGCTGAAAATCGGCCGCGTTGGGAAAACCGGCTACGAATTCAGTCCGACGAACGCGTTTATTTCTCCGCGTTGGGGCGGATTCCTGATTGCTAATGAAGTCGTGCGCAATATTTCTGCACAAACGGATTTGCGAATGTCGGGCAGGGAAGTCATGAGTGTTTTCATCGCCCAGCTTCGGAGGCTGCTCGGTTTTCCGTCCCTGAAGGTGTGTTGTTGACTTCGTGCTTTTTTTTTTTAATAGAAATATTTACGAATCAAGTTCTGTTTGCTGGAATGACCAACATACCTTTCAGCGAAATGTCTTATAATTATCACCTACTGTATTTACGCGATTATAAGCAACCCTCCTTGAATTTTCGTGCGCAAAATTAAAAAAAAAAAAAACAATGCAATAAGCGAATATAAGCACGCATTTACTTCCCTGGCATTTTGACTTTCCAGGAACATACAATTTCTGAATAAATTCATGTTTTACCCAGAAAAGAAAAAAAGACAAAATTTGCTCATCCCCTTCATGCATTTTGAAATGCTAAAAGCTGACCATTTCTTGATTATTTTCAACTTCAAAATTCCAGAAAAACTGAAGAAAAATATGTGTTCGACCTTTTTGTGGTCTCAAATTTCCCTTTTTAATCACAGGTGGTTTTTGAGCTTAAATGGAAGAAACGTGGAAAAAATTGCTTTCAAGTTGATCCAAAGAAAGTTTGTTTTGGGAAATGCGTTCAAATGATAATTGGTCTTTTATTTGAACGCTATCCCAAGCAAAAACTTGTTGTAACCTTAACCTTCAAATCCATTCAAGGTCTTTTTCCCACCCACAATGTCTTTGTAATTCCAGAAAAAAATTCAGAAATTTGAAACTCTTTCCTGTGATGTACCTGTCGAGAATGGCGAGATACTTTTTTTTTTTTTTTTTACGGAAATAACTTTTTTTCCCGTTACTGTATTCGCTTCATTTGTGATACGAGCAGCTTTTCAATGAACTGGAACCGAACGCGGTCGGGACGAACAAGATGGGCATTCAGAGCAGCCGGGGCTGGGAATTGGATCAGTTGAAACGGATTCGAACCTTGGAGAACACCCTGGGTTCCATCGACACTTTGACGGCATTGTCCGATTTGTTGGACGAGATCGGGAACCTGGTGATTCGTGACGAAATCGGCACTGAGATTCAAAAGGCAGTGAGCAGTATTCGATCTGTGCACGAGTTTCTGGATAACAGCGACTTGGAGAATGCGTTTAGAGCCTCGCTGGTGGCTTTGGAGTCTTCAGACAAGGCGTTTTTCGACGAATCCTTGCTGGAGCTCTTGTATTTTCCTGGTGACCAAAAGTGCGTTTTTTTTTCTTCTTGATGCAATCTTTTGAATATTTTAAATTTGTGAATGTGATGGGAGTGGAGAAGACACGTGTTCCTAGAAAAAAATATTACTAAAAATCACTTCATATTAATTTATTGGTTACTACGAAGTCGTTCTTCGGGGCCCTGCCATGCATATCGCTTTATGACGAATTATATTTATAACTAAGCCTTTTCCCAGGTCCCAGCAGCTTCGTTGTAAAAAGATTTTACTGTATATGTACAAGTATTGCTGTAAATGTATGAAAGGGTTGTCCCGCTTAAACTTAGCCTAGGGTACTTCTAGAATGGGCACCACTGTAGATACAATTTTATAATTTAGCCTGTGATGTTCTGAGGTTCTGGGAATTTTTCCGGATAAAAAAAATTTTGTTTGGCATGATAAGCGAAAACGTTTCAGTTTTTGGCTTAGTTCTCCACTCATGTCACAGGGTGCTGAAAATTTGTTGGCACAGCTGAAACATTGAAATTTTCATTTCGTTTCAACCATGATCTTTTCTAAATTTTGTGAAATTTTCAAAATTTGAGATTATGAAAATTTTTTTTTATTGAAAAACATGAAGCATATTGCTTTGGTTTCAGCACGCATTTGCTACTATTATTCAATAGTTATATAGCTTATAGATCTCTTATCTCGTATAGCTTAAGAGAAACTAGTCTTCTGCTCAAAAATTTATGGAAAGTCCCTGCATAACGAAACACTCACTCAAAAAAAAATAAAAATAAATCCGCATGACGAAATTTGTTGAGGGAAAAACATGACGCGCATTTGGAATTATTTCATGGAAGGAACTTTCTTAGCTCGTAAAATGCTCAAATTTTAATATTTTGGAATTAAACCGAGTTTTGTGTTTTGCCCTCGAAAGATAGCAAAAAGTGTTTCTTCACCTTTTCCAGTTGTCAAACAATTCTTTTTGTTGGGATGTTTCCACCTTTTTTTGCCTTTTTTGTTCTCCTTTAAAAAAGTTCTTCATTACATGGTGATTAATCCCTGAATCTTTATAATCCCTCGAGAAATTTCAGGTCTTACATTTATTCTATGTTGAAAAAACCACCTTGATTCTGGAGGACAATCCGTGGATTCAATTAAAATATGCCCGAAGTTTTAATATTGTATAGTACACAGATCTTATTTCGAATCTGAAGTTTTGGTCGTGTCCCGAAGCGATTTTCAAAGGGTTGCTTTTTTTTTATGTAGGAGATAAGTTTGGCAGTTCTGATTGAAAATGCGTGTTTTTTATTCCATTTTACAGATACGCGGTCTACATACCGCTATTTTTGCCGGTGGGCATTCCAGTGATCTCATCGATACTCCAGTTGTGGCGTTGGTGGCGAAGCAAAAAGCCCTGAAGACGGAATTCCGCTTGTTTACAGGAACACACGCACTGTGATACCTTTTTTTTTCTTGTTTTTGGGTTCTTGAAACCATGTGAAAGATTTTTTAGATTTTTGTTGTTGTGATTGATGGAGTTTTTTCCAGTCATCTTCCCGCAGTTCTTCACGAGCTGTCTTCTGCCGAATCGAAGGAACAGAATATAAAGGGCAATAAATAACGGCATTTATTTTGTAGCGTTTTCTCCTTGCTGTGTCAACTGTCATTTTTAGGACTGGTCATTTGAAAGGATGCTTTTTTAATGTTGCGAATAACTGAAAATCTGTGCAAGAAAGGGTTTGGTAGTTGGATTTGTTCTTTGGTGCCCAAAAGGAAGAAGGTTGTGAGTCAGGATTGCATAATCTCCCCGGGGGATCAATTACAAGTCCCTTTTTTTTTCCAAGAATTGTTCTTCAACTTCTGCAATGATCTGCACAACTGATTGCTCACCAATTGATACTTTGGGCAAACATTCCATGTTTAGCTTCAATAGCTCACAAATTGCCAAAGTCAAACATTGTATTGTATCTACTCAATTGATGATCAAGCTTTATTTTCTGTGTTTCAGAATTCACAAGGTTCAAGATTCAGTATTCACACAAGGGGGTTTGGTTGTGGAAATCTTGAGTGAACCTCATGAACGCTGAAAAGCGGCAAATAAAGTGTTCTGTTCATTCATTCATTCAAGGTTCAAATAATAATCCCGCATCTGAAGCCCTTTCCCTCCACATGCACATCCATTGAAACACATTCCATCACATCAAGATGTGAAGTTGAGAAATAAGCTATGTATGGGTATTTAACAGAAAAGAAAATACATCACAGAATGTAAAAATGTATAACTGATCTAAATGCATAAACTTCCAACCGCAATAACAAAAGAAAAATGTTGGTAGTAAAAATAAAGCATAAGGCAATTACTGAACCCAAATTTAAGCACGAGGTGTTCAATAGAAAAGTTCAACAACCCTCATGTGAAACTTGCCCCTTAATTTTGTGGCACAAATGTTTCCCAAAAATCCCAATACCTGCACAAAACTTGAACTCAAGATTTTATTGGGTGAAAATTGAAATTTCTTTAACCAAATAATAATTTCTAACTATAAAAAACTGTATACAGATGGACTCTCTCAACAACATTTTCTGTTTTAAAAATATCTTTTGGTCCAATTGGATTCTCTGTCTGTGTCCTATGGGTTCTCCGCAACAAATATCTTTCTACAGCAAATTTTTTCTGGTCTAGAAGGCTGCTGTTGAATATTGTTGCTATCTCTTGTGTTGAGGGTTAGTGATCATGGAATTATATTGATTCATTATTATTTTCCAGAATGGACGCCTGTGCGGCAGTAGATAGAGATGTGACAAAAGTAATAGAAAAGTTTAACAACCTGAAATCGTCGATCGTTCGGCATTGCGACGATGCCTACTCCAAGTTGGACAACATCAGGGATGTTTTGACTGCCAACCCAGAAGGTAAGATCAAGTATTCGAAAAGATGAAAGAATACTGTATTTAATATGCGTTCGTTTATTTTTTTTTAGCAAGTATGTCAGTCGCTGAAGTATTTAGGCTGACAGGAGCTGTCAATGGAGCCAAGGAAATGGCTCAGAAAGTTGCTGCCCAGCATCGAGACCTGCACAATGCAGTTTCCAAAGTTGGGAAGGCAATTGACAGAGTGAGGCCTCATTCTAAAAAGACCTTGTGTTAAGTTATCTGATTACAGTTCGTTATACAGTAAAGTCAAACCCCAATAAGACGCCACCATTTGTCCAGAGCAATTTTGGTGGTTTAAAGAGGTTGGCTGTTTATCAAATATTTAATTTTAATTATTTGATCAAAAATACTCATTTTCCTCCAAAAGTCATAGAGATACAGGTTATGTAAGAAATTTCAGTAATTTTCCAAATAGTATTGATGTGATCAATGGATTACTCTTACAGAAAATAAGTTTTGCTGCATCAATTTATTCAAATTTTAAGATTAGGTCAATATAATTTTCAACAAAATGATCATTCTTATTTTCCTTACAAATACAAGATCCTTGGCAGAAATTATAATTCTACCCCAATGCGGGCTTTGTAATGAAGACAAAACTAATTGGAAACAGCACTTTTGTTTCATCAATAATGCTGGCAGATGGCAGTTGGTGTCTTATCAAGGTTTTCTATAGAATTTAACATAGATGAGATTTGTTTCATTTGAAATTTTGGCGGTTGCTGAGGGTGGTGCTTTATCTTGGGTGCGTCTTAATGGGGTTTGACTGTACTAGAAAGGGAAAACCCTGGAGTAACCTCACTCATAAGAAAGCACACTTTGTGCACTCTCTCAAATCAATGACCAAATCAACCATTTTGCAACCTCATTAATTTTTGGGTTTTACAGAGTTGGAAAAGGTTATTCAAAAAAAAAAAA